GTGTTGGAGAATCTCTCTGGCATGGTCAATAATTAAATTCACTGGTTAGTAGGAGGATAATGGGTCAGGCATAACAGACAGTTTTTTTTTCCTATCCTTATTAAGCCACAAAAAAAAAGATAGCTGAGAAACCATCCTCATTTATGATACATGAGGGGCTGGTGTTTTTATTTTGGGGTATGGAGGGTTGAACACAGACATCACATTTTTAAAAAAGCAGACAAGTTATGCAGGGAGAATTACAATAAGGGTGAAAGTGGAATTAAATATTGCCACCAAAATGACTTGCAGTTTAAATAGGGAGTGCAAAAGGTAAAACAACAGTTCAGAGTAACAAGTAGAAAAACATTCTGTGCCCCTGTAATATCTCATCTCATCTACAAAGGCAGCAGTCTAATAATAAGTTCTTGGTCCAGAACTAAGAGCCAATTATTTTTTCATACAGAGGGAACTCGGCTGTTAGATGCACACACACACTCGTCTTTGCCCTGTGCTTCTCTTTCCAGCCTATCTTATGTTTCATCAAAAGCAAAATGTAATGCCATTTCTGATCTGCTGCAACACTCACAGCAACATTAGATGTCAGATTTCTCTTTGTACATGCACATGTACGAGCAGAACTGTGTGCGTGCCGGTGTGTTTAGAGAAAGCAGAAGAGACAGAGAGTGTGAGACTGACACACATTTATTTATGTCTGAGAATATACAAGCGTACTGTGCACATATTTGAATGTATGTAAATATTAGTATATGTTTCACCATTCCAATTAAGTCTGGAATTTTAACACGGATCACATTAAGGCACTCCAGATTACTTCCCAAAATCTGCCTGCACAAGACAGCCTGATTCAATTGGCTGCTGTTAATACACAGATTAGGGAACTCTCTTTGCATCCTAATCCTCCTCGCCTCGTTCTCCCTTGTCGCAGAATGAGGAAGGTGTGTGAGAACAGGTTAGCCGATAGCACACATTCACTGTAGGATTACACAAGGGCAACTTTAAGCCTGTGTAATTTGGTTATTAGAGAGGTAGTGTGAAAAATGATGGTATATTAGTGAGCTTGTGATTGTTACGTACTGATTAAAATGCGGACGGATGTTGCTGGATTTGAGTTTTTTCATGTTTAGAATATATATCACATGTGGATGAGATGCATCAATATCAGTGCTACAGCATACGTGGGGGGAAATAATTGGAAGCAATTGGGGGCAAGAAGTAAAGTCCAATTTATTGGTTGCACTGGATGTTTGTTATGCAATGAAAATCAAGACAAAAAAGAATTTATTGCAATAAGCAAGCAGTAGAGATAGAGAGAGTTTAAGTAATGGTTGAAATACATGGCAGTATCAATGAAGGCGTACTTGACAGAGATGTATGGGTAAATGTGACAGCAAAGTTTGGGAACCACTGTTATAATCAGAGTTATAGTTGCTGAATAGAAATGACATGGCAATGTTTGTAATTAGTAACATAATCCACTGGATTACAAAAATTGTAATCTTGCTACCCCTGGTTATAATCTACTGTATTTACTAAATGACAGCATTTTAAGGGGGTCATCCTGTCTGTTTAAACACAGAACAGTTGATATTACTTTTGAAGAGCATGCAAAGTAAAACACTGATAAGATGCTGTCTTGTATCTGGCCCTGAAACTTGTACAATTCCACATTTGAGCAAAAGGGGGCGCAGTGAGCAGCTGTAAAACACACCATCCCCTGTACAAAGAGGGAACTTCAGCAGACACTGTAGCCTTGAAATCTAAAGTGACAGCTGCTTTCAAAGCATACAGGATGAGCGTTCAACTTCTACTGAGAATGTCTTTATTGGATTTTGTGAAGAGCTGACATGTCGATGCAGTGGTCTGCTCTTTCTCCTGCTTAAACTTTCACACCAGATGAACAGGTAACATTCACATACAATTGCCTGAAGAGGTGGCGTGCTCTGAGTGTACTATGTTAAGTGGCATGCACTTCAGACAATGTTACTCTGCTGTCCAATAAAGCAGAGATGTCCATGACCATTAAAACCTTTGAAAATCCCTTAAGAGCTGCTTCCAAAGACTGGTTGTGATTAATTATTCATCTACCTTAGTGCATGTTTTAAGTTCAATGTGTTATTTATTCATATCCCAGGTGAAGTGTCAAATCCCTTGTTTGTGTGTACTTGTCAGTTAAGTGGATGTATCTTATTTAGTTGGATTTCCTTGGCTGACTGGAGTTCTTGCTTGGTTTTCTGCTCAGGAAGGGTTAAAGACTGCCATTTTTTTTAACAGGAAAATATTTCACAATAGGTGACAGAGATGTATCTTGTCATATCACGTTTCTAATATTTAATTTGGCACCAAAAGAGAAAGATTCTTAATTTGTTAAAGAATTGCATTGGCTTTTAATATGTGAGTCATTTAATCTCAGGTTTAAACAGCATGTCTCCATTTCTCAGGGCTCTTCCCATACAGGCCACACCTGGTACACTTTATTGTCCCTGAGTGTATACTGTTCACACCTCCTACAAAGAACACAGGTACATCTCTAGGGAGTAACCCAACCCTCGAAATATCTGCTCCTCCTTTGGGAGCAGTTCTTTATTATTCCTCAAGCACGCCATGGCCTTACTGCTCTACACACACAAACACACACCCACAAACAATAGTATGTATTCTCATTGTGTAACAGATCATTCAAACAAAGGCTCTGGCAGACAGGCAACTACGTGGCTGACTTTTCCTACTTATGTTGGTCCTCTTCAAACACTGAAAAGTCTAACCTGGAGCTTTCCATAGAGTATGTAGCACCATTCATCAACCCACTATAAGAGTGAGTAGGTGTATACCTGTAAATACATGCAGAGACAAAAGAGAGAGAGAGTAAAGACGGGAACAAGTATATGCTTGTGTGTATGCATATGAGTATATGCATGCACTTCTGTAACCTCAGCTACTTTATTATTAAACAAGAAAGTCTGAATCAAAAGTGACACACACGGAATGTATATAATCTGCATAATAAATGGTTGCAAACTGAAACTCTTCATTCCTGTCTACATTCAAATATCAAAGTCCATTCACCACCAGACGCTGTCTCTTCATTTCTATGCATCCAGGCCATGAATGTAATGCTAGCCTCCTGGCACACATGGCAGCCTACCACTCTGTCTCTTTGTTTGGTATACATGTGACAAGGGCACAATGGAGTGCTGGACAATAGGCCACTTATTGAGTGACTGGCAGGGAGTGGGATACATCCCAGATCGTCTGTCACTCTGCAGCCTCGTGCACCCTACCACTCATGGTCGGTGTCAGGTTGCACTCTCCTGTGGCAAGGAGGAGAAGGTGCTTGCTACCTTTTTGGAAATCTGGGAGAGGTCACAAAGGTCAAGATGATTAAAATGTGCACTAAAAATAGAGGGGTGGAGTTAACTGGGTGTTTATTTACTTTGTTAATGTTGACTTAATGCTTTTTTTAAGCAACAGTATCTTGGTTTATTTTATTGTTTTTCTTTATTTTAAATTTCATATAGTAGTAACCATGTCAAGGAAATTGTTAAACCTCCCAAGTGCTTTAAAATGGTCAAATATGTGACAGAGCCACAGAGAGCCAATTGAGTTTAGCAGCTTAAAGTGAATTAGCAATAACTGAATCATGTCATGAGTAAATAAACATCATCAACATGTTTTCTAGTACTACTCCATGATTGTGTGTATGTTTCTGGTAGTGTGTGTGTGTGTGTGTGTGTGTGTGTGTGTAAACAGTTGCTATCAGCAGCTAAGATTTTCCACCTTGTCACTGTCAGCTGACTATCAGTCATTGCCTTCAGCTGAGCTGATTCTCCCTGAGATCTCGAGCTCTCTATGTCAAATGCCTGCCATGACCTTCTGGCCTGCTGACAGCAGCTCTTGGAGAAAAGTCTGAGTATTCATTTGAAATGAAATGTAAAGATGGTATCCCCAGCATGTGATATCAAACATATGACTGAGCTCATGGAATAAACAATAACCACCAGTGTTTGAAAAAAAGCATCATCAAATACATCTTGAATAGTCGATGTATTCATTTTTCTCTTCTCACTAAGACAACTTTGTTTTTTTAAGTGTATATAATGTTTTTCTTCCATGACTGATATTGTATGTAATAGATGCTCATAATAGTGTTCTAGTTTTTCAAGTTTTCTATATGTTCTTATACTTAATTAAAGGTGGTAATAATAGAATATTAAAGTACTCTATTGCAAATAACAGTCCTGCATTCAAAAGTGTACTCAAGCTTAATAAAAACAACATAAGAAGGCAAGAATAGGGAAAAATGTAGGCTACTTACCAAAAGTCATAGTATTCATTATGCAACAGAAGGGCTCATGTCAGTGTTTCTTTATTATCCACACTTACTGATGCATTCACAGGCTGAATTTTAATGTTGTAGCCAGTGAAGTTGGAGCTAATTCTACTACTTTCTATACTGTTGGGCTGTTTAATGTTTACAACAGTGCATCGTATTTGATAAACTTTTATATTTTTACGTAAAATCTTCATCTGCAAAGCAACAACTACAGCTCCCATCTGCAGTAAAAGTAAAAAATGCAATAGCAACCCTTGAAATGTAGTGGAAAAATACTCAACTAAAATACAAGTGCTTCTAAATTACACTACTTGACAAGTTCTGCTAGTATTGCTACTTACTTTGTGAGTGATGTTGGGTTAAGAAATTTGCATATTGTATTGCATATTTAGAGTAAAACTATATATGTATATAAAGAAGCACCAATATATCGATATATGTAACTATTTATCCAAACACACATTACTTTATGCACTGTGCATTCATTCTCACGCCCTAGCACTGCCAGTGAACTTGTAATTCAGTCACTGTGTGCTCTGCTCCTCTCTTATTTTTGCATGAGTAGCTTACAAACTGCTCCATTTTTGAACTTCTCTTTCTCTCTCTCTCTCTCTCTCTCTCTCTCTCTCCCTCCCTGTCGCTCTCTCTCCCTCTGAAGGTGGGGGCAGAGAGCTATTAGCTGTGCGCTGCAAACATCATTAGGAGGGGAGACGCTTTCAACCGTCAGCGCCGGAGCAGAGCAGGGGAGCCCTGGCAACAAGGAGAGACAAACTCAGCTGCCCGTTACACCCTACAGTAAGTCAAACAACATTGTTCATTCAATACTCGCTTCACCAACCTGTCATTGCTTTTCACCCATGCCACTTTTATCCTCTTCTGGAGCTGTGAAGAGAAAATGGCTGGAAGAACTGGGCAGGGTGGCGCTGACGCTCCGGTGTACTTCAAAGCCTTGGGAAATGTTTAGTTCGCCCTCTGACCTATTTTTAAGTGATCAAACAGCACGGGGTCGTGCGGGGGTTTGGGGGTGTACACTTGTCATTTCGGGACGTAAATGCAAAGTAGTGTTTAAGTGGGGCGAAAGAGAGCGGAGGTTTGGCTGCATTCTGACCGAGCGAGGAGCGCGTCCGCCGGCCGAGCTGGTGTCGGGCAGGCGCTGCACTTCCAATAACTGCGCCACTCGACCTCGGCTCAAACATTTGCTCTTTTGCAGACTCTTTCTTAGCGTCTAACACTGACATACACTGCCAAATAACGTCGCCAAGAGCCGTACGTGTCTTCTTTTGAACTCTTTCCTTACTGACAAGGACTGTCAAAGGCAAGCATTACATTTTTATCTACGTTTCACCATCGCGGAAGTGTTTTCTCTACACGAAAAAGAGACGAACAACTAACCACAGTCCACATAATTTGTCCACTGTTCGCCAAACCCGCAGTTACATCTATTTTTTGTGCACGTTGCGAGCGTTTGTTAAAGACATTGCGTATGTAATATGTTACTACACAGTGTTTTTACATTGCCAGCTGGTTGTAAAGGACATAGGGTTTGTGATTGCTGGACTACCCGTGATGTCATTCATCCTAGCTTGGACCATTATATAACGGGACTGTAGGGAAGCCTGTGATAGCAGTCTATTTTTACTCTGTTTACACCTCGGAGTTGCACTCAGGGTAGGCTATGCGTCCCGAGTGGTAGCCTATGGTTTCACTCGCATTATGAATTTAATATGGCATCCAAATGAGACCAAGTGGATGGACAAATGTACTGAAGATGACCAAAAAAAATGAGAAAAAAAGCTGCGGTTCTCTCTACCAACACCATCAGCTGCATTTACACTTTTAAAAAAAAAATTGTTTCCGCTTTTTTGATGGTGTGATGGGGAAATTATTTGCAATTTGAAAAAAAAAAAAAAAAAAAAGAAGTTAGTCTACTTGTTGATTGTGTGTCTTCCCATGTTTGGAGCATGAGTTGCTTTCCCTTGAGCAATGAATGAACGAGTCATCCTAGAGAGAGCTGCTACTAGTTATCTGAACCCAGCAGTATAGGAGATATAAACTATGATACATGTATACCCAGAATTCATCAGTTCAATTGTACCTTATCAAACTGCCACACAAAAAAAGAGTTTGTAGGTAACTTGAAGCATACATAATACTTCATAAACACTCATATATGCATATTTAAAGTCTCAGGTGCTGCTTGTATGCACAGTACACTGTCACTGAAACTTCTTCATTGACCATTTGTACCTAATTATGTTGGTTTTATGTAGCAAAAGTTTGGTTTAAAATACATATACAGTATTTTATTTTATATCAGTATTTTTTGCATTATGCTACTGGAGTAATTTTTAGTAAGTAAGGTTTTACACAATAGCAAACAGCTTTCTTTCAACCTCAAACCCTATCCAGTTCTTTCAAAATTGAGTGTCTGCCAAGACAGTATTTATATAATACTTAATAATTGATACAAGTGGCTCTTCTCGTGGATTTCTGACAGATGCCGTGTGTTTAGATACTAAATAAAACTGCAGCTTTGTGATTTGTTTTCCCGCAATGTTGTGCCTTAGAAAACATTTGCAGTGTTTTAATGTGCATTGGAGCACTTTAAAAATATGCTGTGATCAGCTTCAACATTGGTTTTATATTTCTATTTTTGCTGTTGTTACAATGGGTCTCCAGTTGATATCATTGTGAAAGAAATGGCTACCATTTTTTGAGGAAAAGTTTTTGCTGGTGAGTAACAGATGAATTGAAATGGTTGCTCGCTTTGGCCTTTTCCTGTATAAACAGATGACACATTTGTCATGACTATAACATGTTCAGCATTTCCCATGTTTTTTGTAAAAGAAGTGTCTGAGTGATGGCAACATTATTTGTCTAGTACAAGCTACACTACGTCATCGCACAAGTTTTCACTTAGCATAGATCTGTTTAGCTGTTCACTGATATCTCCCACTGACATTTCATATAGCCTCCTGAATAGTTATAGATGTTTCTTTTGTATGAGCTGAGCAAAACTATAAATTATTTTGTGAATAAAAATGATCTTTCACAGTTTTTGGTATACCTGGCTGATGTATTCACATATCAGAAGTGATCTTCCTTTAATGAGATGGATGGCCTATATATAGTCAAAGATGCAGCAACACAAAAATCTTACGCAAGATACTTTCTTCCTCAATATCTACATGGTCTAGTAGTATATACCACAGTGTCAGAACAGCATAACATCAATGACAACAACAACAGAGGTGGGGGGGAAAGTACATGAAATCTTTTTAACTCTATATTACAGTTTGAAGCTGCCAAGGGGGATGACTGTTGTTGAGTATTTCTATGATAACCTAGGACAGGGAAGCAGAGAGGGGACTGCGATCAATATAGATATTGAGACCATGCTATTTGTAGAGTTATAGTTCTTATTTTGTACAGTTCTCTGTGTTGTAGAGGCAGCAAGTCGGAAAACGGAGAGAGGTAGGGGTTAAATGGAAATGTATTGCTGAGCATCATCAACACTGTAACAAGGGATGTCTTGATGTCTAATGATGGGGAGGAGTTCGATGCTAAAGCAAAGGGGACCCAGTGTTAATCCTTGTGGAATATCATAGATATTGTTGGTGCTGGGATAGTTTTTCCTTGCAGATGTGAGTTAAGCTGAGTGGAAACAGTACATACCAAGTTTTTAGAAAAGAATTCCAGGGTTGGGATGTAACAAAAGTTAAACCCAGTCATTCCAGCACCAGGTCTTTCAGGATGGTTGCTGACAGCTAACACCTGCAAGTCTTAACGGTGGTGACATGAACATGTACATTGACCAGAGGAGAGGTGTTAATACAAAGGGTGGAGAGTGAAGACAGACATGCTTCTACAAGATAGGTAAACAGAGGGTCTACTAGGGATTCAGCTTGGGTGGTACAGATTAGCTAGGTGGTGAGTTTATATACATGTTCAAAATTGATATGATGAAATGCTAAAATGTATAGTTATTTCAGGAGGAAAACTGTATATTTAGGGAACAGTAGTTCAACGAGTTTGAGATTGGATCAAAAATTTTAGTCATGTCTATAAAAGAAGCAGGTTCGATATTTTTCAGGAGTGTTCAAGTCGGGGCTTTGCCTTAGTTATGATGGTGAACATGAAGGCTTTGTCATAAGGAAACGGCAAACTATAGTGCTCTATTATGCGGTCATGCCACTGTGAATCAGGCGAGCTGTTCCACCCACGTACCACACGCACACACACACACCTACACGCACGCACACAGGCTACTTACCACTGCCACCATAGCCTTTGATTCCAGCCGCCACTCACTTTCAAATGGTAATGAGAGGCAATTAGAAGCCAATGTGTCCTAATCACAAGCCATTTAACTGAGCTTGGCTCATTTGTCAGAGCCATATGTGCACAGCGACCCACACACTCAAACACACAATAATACACACATCTGCTAGATCATGCTAGAGTCTTGTCTTTGTCTCTGGAATTTGCTGCTTATGTAAGGGAAAAGAGGAAAAGTGTGTGGTTGAGAGAGACAGCGAAAGATTTCCAGGTAATGATTGGGCGGAGGTTTCACAGCTGAATGAATAAGTGACAGAAAATGGCTTTATGCTCCAATCTGCAAATACAGGCAGAGTGAGTGATTGGAAGGCGGGGCGAATGGATTAACCAATGGCTGAAACAGGTGTTTGTGTGTGACTGTGTATATTTGTAGAGAAATTAGTTGGAACAACAGTACTTATGCTCAACATTTGCTTACAGAATAACTTTCACAGGTTACACACTGCAGGCAGAGGAAGCCTGAAAACCAAAATAGCATTTACCCATATCCCGTGAGATCTTTAGAGTCTACATGGGTGAGTAAACTTTTTCAGTCTGTGCTTGTTAATTTTGGCATGCATTATCTTCTGCCAGATCAAGTCGTATGTCATATGAGCACAAATAAAAACAAACAAACCCTGCTCTGTACTGAAATCTGCAAATGCTTTAGGTGGTGTTGTAACCACCAGTTTGGTGAGATATTGAGATCCTGCCCATAATCAAGCTGCCAATCATGATGCAAAACCCTGTTTTTATAGCTTCAAATAACGAATTAAAAACAAATTTATTAGAAAAATTAACCCCTAAACACACATCAGCGTGATAAGAGCTACCTATACTACAGTCAGTCACCAGGGGACGGTCAGGATCTTTTGGCTTCACTTTTGGGGGAGCTGTCATGTTGTCCATCTTTATACATGTCAATAGTGCAGACCAATAAGGCAGTGGTAACCAAACAGAATTGCTATCTGAAAGTATATAAATCATCTGTAAAATTATAATCTGTTGAATACAAGCAGCTATTTGCCTCTCCAGCCCTGGCTGCAAACTCCCATGTACACATAGTGCAAGTGTGCTGCAAGGAGCCATAACAAACACAGACACTTGTTATAATAATGTAAACATATCTAGAAAAATATTTAGCTGCTCTAACTCTGTCTTCAAAGATAACAGCACGCTGAAAAGAGACAAAGCAATGCACACACAAACAAATTGCACACAAATTATAGGCTTAAAGAATATGTTTTTGAGCAAGCCAGGGTGTTCAGCATATCGATTAGATATTGTTCTCCTTTTTCTTTCCTCCCTTCTCTCCTTCATATCTCTTGCCATTGTTTTATACCACTTTTACACATAAAACTGTAATGTTTGAGGCAGAGTAATGAAGATGATGTCAACCCCTATCTGCTGCATTCAGTTCAGACTGCTGTCACAGGTTAATCCCTGGTCGTCTCCATTTACACAAGAAGCCCGATGAG